TTGGAGAGATGAAAATATTTCTGACGTGGTCAGCAGAGGAAAAGAGAATAGCAGTGAAGAAAGTGTGGATGGCTGTGCCGAACTGCCGTGCGGAAAGGAGCAGCTCAGGGCGCTAGCTTTAACAAAGCGCATCGCAGAAAGTACGGGTGAGGGAGGTGCAGATTTTCTGCGGACTGTGCGCAAAATGCAGGCCGGGGTACGTCTGCACTGTACGCAGTCTATGCAGCAAACGACCATCGATAGCTTTTTTAAATAAAATTATGAAGATGTGAAATGATTGGTGAACAGTGCTCAGTATATACTTTGATAAGCGGAACTCCCCTTTAAGCGGAACCGGAGGGGTTCTCCCGTGCTGGTTCCGCTTATCGAGAGATCACTGTATTGCATACTCATTCATTCAATTCATTACACCTAAACATCATCATGAATTTCACAACAGTACAGTTTAACAGAAAAACAACGGAAACAAATTAAAATTTAGTTCCTTTGTTCTTCTGGGACGAAGTCCCACATCTGTCCCCCGCCCTGTCCCGGCGGACACCCGCGCCCTCCCCGCGAGCCATGCCGCCCACACGCCACCCACCCTGCCCCTTGCGGCTTGCGATGCGGAGGCAGGCAACGCCACCACATAGCGCTAGAAGCACGGTGCGAGGGCACTTGGTGTGCAGGACGAGCGCCAGCCGTGCCATCTCGGCGAGGGATGCGGAGCAAGATTAGAAGGAGTGTGTGTCTGGAGCCTGGAACAGGAGGGACACGTCCGCATCCGTGCTTCAGATTTCGGCCTTGCAGAACGTTTTGAAGAGAACGTGAGGCAAATGATTTACGATTATTATTTTTTCAATTTCACGCCTACGGATCGCACCGAGCTTCCACTGCCGGTTCTTTGCCGGCTGCCTGCCCGCTAACCCCCCCCGTCCTCGTGCAGCCCGTCTTGTCTTTGGTTTTGAATCCGGCCAAATTCCGCCACCAGGCGTGTGCGGGCAATCATTGCTTGGCCGTCCCTGTTTTAGGGTCTCTCGGTGACCTGCGCCGACTCTGGTGGGTGGACGGTACTATGTGTTGAGACAGTCTCGCTTCAAGGGAAGTCTACTGCCTTGTCCATCGAAGCTCGCAGACCGGTCCACGCCGTGGCGGTGTCTGGCAAGCCCAACTCCACGCTCGGCACATGGCTGGGGGAACCTTCAAGTGGGATACGTGCCCTCCGTGTGGGTATTGTACTCATATCGTCCTACGGCTTTCGTTGCAATACTGTAAAAAATTTACCGATGGACAAGCAGCCCCTGGAGTCCTTTGAAGCTCCCATTGCTGGCGCAAAAGTCATGTTTGTGCATCGCGAGTGTTGGTGTGGGTTTGGGGTCCGGTTGTCTTTTTATTTTTCTCTGAAGTTATTCACGTGTGGGTTGTCTCCCGGCTGCAAGGGACACACCAAGCTCGAGGGTATGACAATCACCCGAGGCTTGCCGAGGGTTGAAAGTCATACCCGAGAGCCGGTGTCAGCCCGAGAGCTACGGGAGACAACCTGTTTGTCTTCCCGGCTGCGTTTTGACATCCATGTCGCGACATCGTTTCTGTTTTTGATAGAACCGCCTAAAGGTAATTCAAAATATACCATATCGATACCGTCGAGGCCGGAAATGGGAAATTAAAATATTGGACGACGGTGGTGGGGCTGACCACGAGCCATCAACATTTCAGACTGCCCTTGATCGCAGTTTTCTCCGATCCACTACCACGGCACCACCCACCAAAATGGACTTTGTTCCAGGAACCCCACCACCAAATGTGGGCGATCCTCTCACTTCGGCTCTTGTGCTTGTTCGTCAAACCCCACCCACAACAAATCCAATCCTGCAGACCCTGCCAATGCTCCCAAAAACACCGTGAACGCCCAGGACCGTCCTCTCGATTCACCCCATTCTCGCGCAGCTCAACTGTTTATGGGAGTAAAAATTCCACTGAACACCCTTAGTGCTAACTCTACCACCCTTCGCGCTTTTGCGCGATTCCTCACTTCTGTACCGGGATTCATGATAATGCATTCCGAACAGAGGACCATCTTTGGTCCTATACATTGAGCGAAAAAGACCTTCGTGTCAAATGGGAGCTGCCAGAGACTAGAAAGGTACTTTTTGGAGATGGAGAAGGAAAATGTCCCCCCGCGACTATGTTGAATGGACTGTCGAGCAACTCAAACAGATTCGATTTCACTTAATAGAGTTCGTGGTCAACTACAAGAGCATCAAGTCGGAAAGCGAAGTTAAGCCAAGCACTATGAAGGGCTACATTAAAAGCATCCAGCGATCGTTTTCGAGAGATTTGTGCTACCACGTCAAGTTACTTGAAGGGCAGATTTTTAACTGCTCAAAAGATGGTTGATGACCGTGATCGATAACAAATTCAGTTTTCAGCACTCCAAGGGAGTGTTTTCCAAGAGCCACAACGTCCTATCTAGCGACGATCTCAAACGGCTGTACAATTCTCCATTTATGTCACGTGACAACCCACTCGGCTTCCAGGCCAGGCTCATCTTCGACATTGCCCTTATCACTGCAATGCGACCAACCGCATTGGTTAACCTAAACGTCAGCCAATTTACCGAAATGAAGCTCCGCGGAGAGGAAGTTTGGAAAATAAGAGCTGCAGTGGGAAGTAGAATTGGAGCTTCAAAGACGAATGCTGGTGGATGGAACACAGTACGTGAAAAGGCGACAGAAATTTGCGTTTGGAATCGTCCTTCATTAGATGGAAATTTGAATATTTTTGAAGATATCAGTGCCTTCATGTTGGTGAAGATGGCAATGGATTGTGCTACTGACCGCTTTTTTTCTCGGTGCCAACCAAAAAGCCACCATGTTCGGTGACTGCTTCAGGCGGCAGCACCTAGGACGAAACACGTTCTCGCGCATTGTTATGTCTTTCTGTAAGAAAGAGGTAATTACAAGGACAGGGTCTCAAGGTGGAATGACTACACATGGGCTGGGTGGAACGGTTGCTACTTTGTTAATTGATGCTGGGCATGCTGACTCGTCCGTCGCAATGCGTACTGGACATCGCGATTTACGGTCTCTAATGAATTATCAGAACCTAGAGGGCAGATCGGGCGAAAAGCAGCAGGAGGACATTCTACGCTTTTCCAGTAAACTGGATAGCGTAGGTATTACAAATTTTCACAAGCTAGAACCGAAGGAGAAAAAAAGGTGAACTGGTGTTTCAGGATCAAAACCCCGATACGAAGGGAACTGTTCTTATTTCCGCTAATGATAAATCAGAAACGGTGCTTAATGATGCCGAGAGCGAATGGGATAGTGGTTTAGATGGAAAGGAAAAGGAGAATGAAGAAAGACTGGTTGGTAGCAGTAGTGGGCAGCTGCAGTTGTTGTCCGATGTTAAGTCGATTTTCGATGGCCATTTTACTGTTAACTTTCACAATCATTACCGTTAGGTGCTGTCATAAGGGTTAAAAGTGCGTGTCTGTGGCCATGAACTAGCCAGCTTTGATATCAACATCATGGTTTTGCACGGTAGTGCAGACAGAGCCGTGTGTCTGCACGCTCGTGCAGACATCGTCCCATGTCAGATACGACCGTGTTGTCCAATTGTATCTGCTTTTAGTGTGCCCAGAACGTTTTCTGACATACATCTATGTCCTCCACGAATGTCAAACGCACCCGGGAGACGAGCTGTGCGTGTCTTCCTCTCGCAGTGCCTCCACCCTTCCTTCCCGTTTTGATAGCCGCAAAGCTTCCACTTTAGAGCTTGCGCGGAACAATACCGTATGCTGTGGAAACCCTTGAAATTATAACTAAAATGTGCCGCACAGCGAGAGCAGCCCCACTAAACTCACGATGTGCCAAATATTGCAGCAACAATCCGCACAACAGCCGCCCTCTCCTTTGAAGAATGGAGGAAAGCACTCCAAAAATCACTGTCAAGCGGGCACTTACCCTAAAATCGCTTTATGGCCTTTCCTCATAACCACGTGGAACGATCGACACCTTGTTGGAGACCTCTCTACGCGACTAGGTTATGCTTTCCTCCAAGTTGGTTTGGTGTGACGCCAACACAGTACATAAATCCACGTTTCATGATTCTTTCAATGTTTTAGGACGAGTGCTTCTTCCCTCGCTGGAATCACACAAACATTCATTCACGAAAGAACAAGCGAAAGCACATCAACTCACCCTACTGACCCACACGACCGTCGCCACTGTTTCCGCTTTCGTCGACAACGACAAGAGAGCCGCGCGCCGAACGCGGCCTTCAACCTTCGCGTCCCTGCTTTTCTAACAGCCGGTGCCGTTCTCACGCATAACACACTCCTAACACACTCCTAACACACTCCGCACCTCACCGACTTGTCTTTAGCTATTCACAAAAAAATGCAGGAAAGCATCCGGCAAGAGACGGGACCAAGTAGAAAACGGCGAAAGATACAGTCTCCCGATGTGTTCATAAGCCATGCTGGTCCGGACAAGCTACTCATCGCACGTCCCCTTTCCGAGAAATTGCAAGCTCATGGTTTAAATTGCTTCCTCGACAAAACCTCGATGGAGCCCGGGGACTGCGGACGGGATGAACTGACGAAGGCTATGGAGTCTGCGAAGGTCGGTGTTTTCATACTTTCTCCCGAGTTTGCGGCTCGAAAGTGGACGATGAGGGAACTGCGTTGCTTCCTACGCCGATTGAGAGAGGCGCGAGGGAGTGGGATGCGACCACCGACATTTATTCCGGTGTTTTACAGACTAAGTATTCGTGAATGCAGAGAGTTGGATCCCAATCGGTACTCGGATGATGAAGGAAAGAATATTTTTCAAGTTGAGGAGTTTTTTAGCGAGGAACGACAGCGCGAAGCGAGCACGGATACGGTGATGGGGGAGCTACAAGCGCTGACGGATATCACTGGGATTGAAAATGACGAAAGGGCAACGAACCTGCTGGAAGATGAATTCAGCCATCTTGCAAGGGAACATCTTGTGAAACGAGTATCTCGGTGGGTGAAAATGAAAAGTGAGGAGGCCTCAAGTGATGATGTGAGAGAAGCTGTGAATGCAAGTGGGCAAGTTGAAACCCACGCTTCTATCACGTCCACCGCACGATGTACGCTTGATGAGTTCAGGCGCTGTATACTCGCAGAGCACAATCCTGAAGAAATATATTTGCAACTGAATTCTCGGGGGATCGATGGATCACCGAATACGTGTGAGGCGCGGCTAAAGGAGGCCGTGCTAAGTACCGATAGGAAAACTATAGGAGCGACGGCAACGGGGAAGGGCGGAGTCGGGAAGACCTGCGCTCTTCGAGCGATTGCGCACGACGATGACATCAATGCTCAGTTTTCAGGCGGAGTGTACTTGATGTCTTTGGGGAAAGACGCCAACGTAGGGCGGCTGATTGAGCAACTGTGTATGGCCGTAAAGGCGTCTGGTGGCAACCAGGCGGCTGCAAAAATGCGAGAGCAAAGCGAGTTGAGCAGGGTACTGACCGAGATGCGAGCATGGTTCAACACACGTGTATGCCTGTTCATTATTGATGATGTGTGGGCCGTGAATGGTATAGATGCGTGTATTCTTCAGAAGTTGTCCATTCTCGCTGATACAGCAGGAGACATCCGAGAGAGGAGCAGACTTCTGTATTCCACGAGGGACTCCGAGCTGAAACAGGTCGGTAAGCGAGTGACTTTCGAGCCGAGGGAAAAGGAAGGGAGCGATTCAGTTCACATGGTCATGCTTGCGAGCGGGGCGAACCCGGAGGAAGCGAATGATCCGAGATGCAAAGAGGCCGTGAGCGAAATATTGAAATCGTGTGCTGGTTTGCCGCTTGCTCTGAACGTAGCCTGGACGGGTGTCAGGTGCATGAGAGATAGATGGGAGGGAGAAAAGTCACAAGCGTGGGAGGCATACCTGAAGATGAAGAGCCGCAACACGCTTCGTAGTGAGAGTCCAGAGGATGGGTATTCGTCGTTAGACGCGACATTACATGCGGCACTAGATATTTTGGAGTCCGGCATGGGGAGCGATGCGGAGAGGTTACGTCAGTTTTCGTTTCGAAAGATACATCGGAGTTTGTGTATTATGAAGAAACAAGACCGGATGCCTTTGTCGTTGGTAAGAGAGTTGTGGGAGATGGACTACAAATTGGCGGACAAATGTGCGAAGCAGATGGATAGGGTTGGATTAGTAGACCTTCATTACGACAATGATGGTGGGTGGGTACGGATGCATGATCTGACGCACGATTTTGCGGTGCAGGAGGCGCAGAAGGAAGAAAGTGCAACGGTCTGGTATAAGAAGTTGGCAGATGTATGCAAGCAGGGAGGAGGACTGCTTGCTATAACTGAGAGCGAGGGCAGAGAGAGCAAGGATGCAAGAGAGAAGTATGTTTTCGAGAACACATATCGCGTTCTGAAACAGGGCGGGTGTGTGGAGGAGCTGAAGAATCTATTTTTGAAAGCGCAATGGGTGAAGGCAGTGATACAGAGAGGCGGGGTTTGGCAATATGGGGAAGCTGTAAAGGATCGAAGTAGCTTTTTGAGCAACAAGGGAGGAAGCGAGAGCCTTTTAAGGGATACGGGAGAAGAAGATTCGTTGTATGCGATGGAATTGATGATGAGAGCTGCACGACTGAGTGTACCATTTTGTGGTGAAAACAGTGCCGGGATTTACTTTCAACTATATGGGCGAGTGAAGCACAAGGCACGGGATTCAAGTTGTGTGCGAAAGATCCTGGAGGAAATCGAGACATACGCACCACGGCCGTGGGTGCAGCCTGTGAGTGAGTGTGTAGCGCGAGCCGATGGAAGGTTGGTAGAGCAGATTGTTTTCCCGTCTGTCAGTTCCAGAGCCGTTCAAGTCGGGATGGATTCCAGGGGTGAAGTGAATGGATGTTGGGTGGAGTGGCACGAGGGGGCCGTAACAGTTTTCACGCAATCTGCTGAGAAGGAGACGAAGATGGTTCGATTAGAAGGCGAGTTCGAAACGGCGAGCCAGAGCCCAGGGGACCTTGAAGCAAGAAGTGTAACCTCCGAAGTGACTGGAAAAAGACGGAGCGTGACGAGTGCTACCTGCGCCACTTTCTGTGAGAGGAAGGGGTATGTTGTTGTGGGATATGACGACGGGACGTTAAGGCTGTGGAGTACGTCGGAGACGAAAGTATTGAGAAGTTTCCGCGGTCACAGGTCGGAAGTGCGTTGCGTTGCAATGAGTGGGGACGGAAGACGTGTTGTATCTGGATCTGAGGACGCTAGCGTGCGGGTGTGGGACGTGGAGACAGGAGCACAAGTCGGGGAGGCGTTAGTCGGACACACGGATGTAGTGCGTAGCGTTGCGATGAGTGGGGACGGAAAACGTGTGGTATCTGGATCGGAGGACAAGAGCGTGCGGGTGTGGGACGTAGAGACGGGAGCACAAGTCGGGGACGCGTTGGTTGGACATACGGGTATGGTGAATAGCGTTACGATTAGTGGGGACGGAAGACGTGTGGTATCTGGATCGTGGGACACGAGCGTGCGGGTTTGGGACGTGGAGACGGGAGAACGAGTCGGGGACGCGTTAATTGGACACACGGATTCGGTGGAGAGCGTTGCAATGAGCGGGGACGGAAGACGTGTGGTATCTGGATCGTTTGACGGGAGCGTGCGGGTGTGGGACGTGGAGACGGGAGAACAAGTCGGGGAGGCGTTAGTTGGACACACGGATCGGGTGGACAGCGTTGCGATGAGTGGGGACGGAAAACGTGTGGTATCTGGATCGGAGGACGACACCGTGCGGGTGTGGGACGTGGAGACGGGAGAACAAGTCGAGGATGCGTTAGTTGGACACACGGGATATGTTCGGAGCGTTGCGATGAGTGGGGACAGAAGACGTGTGGTATCTGGATCGTATGACAAGAGCGTGCGGGTGTGGGACGTGGAGACGGGAGCACAAGTCGGGGACGCGTTAGTTGGACACACGGATGGAGTGGTTAGCGTTGCGATGAGTGGGGACGGAAAACGTGTGGTATCTGAATCGGGGGACAAGAGCGTGCGGGTGTGGGACGTAGAGACGGGAGCACAAGTCGGGGACGCGTTAGTTGGACACACGAGTTCTGTGAATAGCGTTGCGATGAGTGGGGACGGAAGACGTGTGGTATCTGGATCGTATGACAAGAGCGTGCGGGTGTGGGACGTGGAGACGGGAGAACAAGTCGGGGAGGCGTTAGTTGGACACACGGGTTACGTGCTTAGCGTTGCGATGAGTGGGGACGGAAGACGTGTAGTATCTGGATCATGGGACAACAGCGTGCGGGTGTGGGACGTAGAGACGGGAGAACAAGTCGGGGAGGCGTTAGTTGGACACACGGGTCCGGTGGATAGCGTTGCGATTAGTGAGGACGGAAGACGTGTGGTATCTGGATCGTGGGACAAGAGCGTGCGGGTGTGGGATGTGGAGAGAAGGAGCACACTTCATGTCGGGAGGGTAGAGGGTTGGCAAGAAACCACGAGTCGGTTCCTAAGGACAGCAGACGTGGGTACTGCTTCTCGCGCAGGACGAACATCACAAATGTTTGCAAGGAAGGGAAGAATTGTGCACAGGCGAGAGGATGGGTCTGAGGCTGTCTTGGCCGAGTTGGACAATCCAAGAGACTTGCAGATAGATCACGATCGCGGGGTCGTAGTTGCAGGGGTAGGCCATCTGGTTGCTATCATGAAAGTAATGGTGTAAATTGCGGAAAGGGACAGACGCTTGGCGCCCAAGACTTTAGTGCTGCGTTGCAACTGTGCGCGGTGGTAGTGGGGAGTTTTTTGGGTTATTGTGAGTGAATGCGTGAGAAGCTTGGTTGACGGACGTTGCAGTGCATGGATGTGTATGTATGAATTACCGACGTGCTTCCCTTCATCACTCAGTGAACAAGTCTAGGGATGCGAGCAGACCTGACGTGTAATAAGTGTTCCATGACGAAGGCTTGCCCTCCACGCAGAGGACTAAGAAACGTTTACAGCGGCGCCAAGCGTTCGGACAGAAGCGACAGAGGTGCCACGCCGTAGGCCGGCAGCACTCTGAAGGTATTGTGATGCATTGACCGAGGTGTGCACGCGCGGTGCGCACGGATTCGGGGTGGATTAGCTGAGAATTGAAAGGACATGTGCGTCTCTCAGGTTCGCTTTTGTGCTCGCGGCCTCCCAAACGGCGACGTCCTCGTTCACGGATGTCACAGGCATAATCGCGCGGAGCACGGAGGGACTTTGCGATCGCAAGAGTATTGGTTGCCTCGCGCGCAGGTAGGATGGGCGCCTGCGCGGAGGGCGTGAACGACGGCGGGTTTGACAGCGACGGGCGGGTAGGCGACAGGCGTGGCCGCGGTTGAAGACGGATGTACAGGTGGACCGGGTTGCTTCGTTTGGAGTGTGAGCAATGTTGCTGATGAGGTGAGCTCAGGGTGAAGTAAAGAGAGTAGGCCATTGCCGAGGCAATGGAGGGCATCTCAGCATGAATAGTGTTGAAAGAAACGAGGCATTTTTCACCTACTGTAATGATTCTAAGCCCAGAGGCGCTTACTGTTAACTTTTAGCCGAGCGAGCAAATCGCCCGAAACGATATATTCGCCGCTGTTATCCGCGTGGAAGTACAATTTCAATTACTTTTGAGCGCATAATCATTACTTTTCACGACTCTGCATTGCAGTCGTTTATGAAAAAGATAAATATTTCGAAATACGCTCACTTGTTTTGCCAGCGACGGCCTCGATTATTCCGACTCTTTCTCGACTCTTTTTCGACTCGTGCTCGACTCGTTCTCTCGACTGCGATCGCAGTAAAGTTATGCGCGCATGAAATCCGATCAAGTTTTTAAACTTAATTTCTAGGCTTTTTTTAAAAAAAAGCCTAGAAATTAAGTCTCTCACGAAACACTTGTCGCCATTAGTAGGCCTGCCGAAAGTGCCACACAGAGTGTTTATTTCCACATTTCAAGTGTAATACCAGCGGTCGTCCAATAGCGTCCCGTTCAAACGCCGGTTTCTGGCAGCGTCAACCTGATTTGTTCATTCCCCGTTTCCTGCAACATAATTGGACAAAGCCAGACAGGATGGGCCCCAGATGCAACTGAACTCTAATTCTAACTGTCCCCCCAACGTCCACCCCGTTGCATATCAAACGGGCTTGTTTGTACCTTTCCGCCGAGAGGTTACGGCGCCCCGCAGTGCACCCCTCTCGCAGTCCCCGCCCCGCCCTTTGGCGCCCCGAGATGATCACCCACCTCATTTCTTTTCTGCCCTCATCATGCCGCACGTCACATGCACGTCGCACTGGAAACAGGGCTCATGACAACAGCCATGAGGTCGAAGGCACGTCGTCGTCTCGCTGCTTCGGCACCGACGCCCTACTCGTTCGCGCCCGCGTGTGACTGGCTTGCCATATACACGAGGACAAGGGAACACCGTATCGGAGTTGTCATCCCGGTCATCCCGAAGCGAGGGGCGGTGACTATCGGATCGCACCCAGCCTCTCCGCATCTGTTCTGTTCGACAGTTTTTCTTGTTTGCATTTATACAACTGTCCACGTTCAACCGAACGAAACATCGGCTGAGCTGGAAAAAATCCCCTTTGCTGCAGAGCTTGCCTGAAGAACGGCCATTCAAAAATGCTGCAATTTAAAACCTAACGTCTCCCTCTGTGTGCATGGGACCGACGCCACAGCCAAAATCGACTTTCCCATCGGCGTCCCACTCTGCTCGCCCTGAGCCTGCGGCATCACGTCTGTGCCATTCCATCATTGCGCTGTCCCTTTGTGTAACCCGCACCCGTGGCCTGGAGAGGCACAGGATCATGGTTTAATTGCACCGCCGTGCTCATCTCGCTGCGCTACTTCAGCCTCCGCGGATGCCGACACTTGCTGCAGTTGTTTATCGCCCAGGTTGATGGACTACTACGCTTTTGGGGTTAGAGAGGACGCGCCATGGCTGTTGCTGGCATGGTTGGAAACGCTCCCTGATGAAGGAGTTGTATGTGTTGTAGCTTGTTGAGGGGCGGATGTGCTGCCAGGACCGGGCCCATTGCATTGGCCTGGATCATGGGGCGCAGACGCAGCCTGTTGCCCGCTCGTACCTGGAGTCTGCTGTGAGGTATCGGCGATGGTAATCGGCATAACAACTCGGACCTCATTCGACAAACTCTGTTGGACATGTGCGGGGACGTTGCGGGGGAGCCCGGTCGAGGCTTGAGGCGGCGTGCTTACCGAAGGCACGATGGGCAAAGGGTTGCTAGAACCAGTCTGCACGGCAGACCAGATTTGGTTGATATCGAGTCTGGTTTCTTGCGTGCCCTGTGCGACGGCCGCATTGGCGTGGAGCGGTATCAAAGCATAGCTCACTTGTGGAGTTGCTGCCCGAGTGCTGTCCGCAGAGCCACTATTGTGCCTTGCAAGGCGCCTCGCATTCAGGCCGTATCGGGCAAGCCATTTTTGCGTGATGAAATTTCTCACATCGTCTTCTTTTGATTCTTCGAAAGCCTTAATAACTCGGTCCGCATTCCGAATCTGACGCCCGTCTGGTTCGTTTTCGTCCACTTCATCGAACAGACTTGACTCGACGAGAAGCATGAAGAAAAGCATGCCATATTTCTTTGCTCGATTGAGATTTCGAAAGTCCGCTGCGAAATGTTCTTTCGTGGATTCATCGACTGGCCCCCATTCCCGTAACAACCCAATAGCACTCAGAAACGAAGAACATACTGATGCCGGCGTCGCATTCATTGCTTGCTTTAACGTCCCGGATTCCGCTGCATGTTTCCTGAGGGACTCTTCGTGATACTCAAAAACGGAGTCCCCGATCATGCAGATCTCAGCGACTGCTTCAAGTGCACGTACAACTTGCTCGGGTTTACTCAACCGCGCATTTGAAGGATTGCTGACCACATCTACCGCACTATTGGCAGCTTTCCACCACATCACGGGATCGCCGATGTCATTATTATCCTTCAAGACGATGAGCTTGTCGTCGACCTTCACTACTATGCCGTTCCACATTTTCACATCGGTCGTTTCTGTCGTTGAATAAGAAGCAGGAAATCTGAGATATGTGTTTGTGTCGCGGGCTTCAACGACGCTTAGCTCTCGTTTCCGGGTCTCGTTTAGGGACTTCCTATGGCGCAAGTAGCTGATTATCTCTCCTTTCTGGGTGTCGTTTAGGGGCCTCCCATGACGCAAGTAGCAAAATTTTGAAAGCTTATCGTGGAGAGCCGGTTTTCTGCGCATGCGGACATATGCTTTAAGGACAGCGAATCGAAGACCGCTGATAGCTTCAAGTCCTGGGATAAGTCCGATGAGAACGACTCCAAAAGCATCCAATGACAACTTGTTGGCGAGGAATAGGACCAAACCTAAGAAGCCGGCGAGCACACAGCCCGTGCCGGAAACGATAAGAATGCCGACTTCAAGGTACAGATGCCTGTTGAACCAGCTTTTGAAACCGTTGATGAGCGTGAGAAGTGCGGACATGAAAAAGGCCAGGGCAATTAACGACTTTGCCGTACCGTCAGGATTGTCCTCGTCCATCTGGAGGAGCCGTGAAAGAAAGTCAGGGAACTAGGATTGGGCAGAAAGTTCTGATGGACTGGTGATCAAATGCGTGGCTGTGGCTGCGACTGAAAATGTCGCAATCTGGGAAGGTGAGAAGAAGATGTGATTAGTTGTGGAAACTGCGGAGACGTAGAGTGCGATACGGAAACATAGTCACTATTAAAGGGCACATGATGTCACCTGCTGATATGCTGGGTTGCCCACCCATCGTCGCAACTTAAGATGGTCCCGGTACAGGGTTTTTCCGTCGTAGGGGGAAATGGTGCATGGCTGGACGATTGCTGGTCCTGGTCCTCCTGCCGAGCAGGAACCTGCAGGCCGTTGTATATCGACACGGGATTGGAGCAGCGGTTGCAAAACATGCGGCTCAAATCGTCTGGGAAGCATCTGTAAGTCCTTCTCACAAACGCTCTTTTAAGATCATACACGTGACCACGCTCGACGCGGTTTTGGAGACTCCTTCCTCAACACGTGGAACAGTAGGATAGCGATGGCGAGAGCTCTTTGGTATTTTGCGTCCAATGTGCCACTAACTTGTGTCATGTCAAACAAATAAGGGGTTTGCGACCAATTTGTATTAAGTCGGTAGAGAAGGAACTGCTTCACAGACACTTGGTCCTGCCTTTGGGAACATGTCGATATTGGTAACCTCCGTCCACACGCCGCAGCTGCAATCAGCAGTCAGCTTCTCTCCGTGTTGACGTGGTGCCGTGTTGCCGTGTCAACGCCTGCAAGACAGCCGAATAAATATCTCACAAAAGCCCTCGAAAACCCGGATCTCTGAGTGTGCACCAATCAATACAGCGCCGGCGCGATAGTGATTCATCATCGCTCTGTGCTTAGCAGGGGTTCCGTTCATCGTGGTTGTTGCATCTCAGGCTTCCGTCAAGAAGCTTCTGGAACTTACTGCAACATCTTCGTTGCTTTTTTTTTTTTTTTTTTTTCAGTCTTGTTTCGGAGAGCCTCTGGGTCTTGCGCACCATTCTTGATCGCTTCTCCTTTTCGATGAGGTGATTCCATGACGCTTCCAACTAAGCGTTCAAGCCTCTCTCCGTTCCAGAAGTGTAGACACACTCGCCAAACAAAAGTCTCTGGCTAAACCACAGTTCTCAGGCCTCTGGAACTGTGCGCAATATTATGCCTCTCCAAAGAGGGGTTGGCGACCAATATGTTCAAAGTCATTGGAGAAGGAACTGCTTCACAGTGAGTTGGTCCTGCCTTCGGAAGCATATCGATATTGGATATTTCACTCCGAGCATTTCAGCTGCAAGCGGCGTTCAACCTCTCTCCGTGTTGAATGTTCGCTGCCGTCTCGTCGGGGCCAGGGAAGAGAGAAAGTTTTACACAGTCTACCCCTTGAACAATGCTAAGAGTAGAATCAACTTTTCCCGAGTTGTTTCCATACCCAGCCACATCCCCCTGTGCGACAGACAATAACCCTCGGAAGCTCGTGAGGTCAGGCTTGATATCGACTTGCTGCCTTAACAACGTACAGATGATCGCCAACAGCACAGAGGTTGCCGAAATTCCCACGGAGGCCCACACATACCGAGCCTCTAGGGTAAGTCTCCGAGCAGTGGGGCTGTCGCTGTAGGCTTGGGAGACTTGCTCTCGCCACGCGTATAAGTGGTTGGTGAAGCTTATCGCAAGCGATATGTGGCGGGGCAGGTTGTACGCAATATCTCCAATAATCTGATCTGGTCGACTAATCATATGGTCCTTGTATTCACTTATCGATATCTCAGCCCATTGCCCACGGACTTGTTTTCTGACGAGGAGATTCGCGCCGTTGGAGGTAGCAAAGTATAGCTCTCTTCCATCGGCCAACGTCATATTTGAAATAGAACTGACAGTACCGTTGTCAAGTAATACTGGGACTGAACTAGGTTTAACCGGATCCTGTTGAAAGTTCCATTCAACTACAAGCAAGAGGTTTCTTTCCCCACTGCGCGACGTCGTACAAGAAACTTGCGACCTATCGTCATTTTCTAGCGCCTCATACAATAGAAGCCTGCCCTTTTCGAAAACACGACACTTCCAAATCGCGACTACCAACGGGTCGTTCAGATCGTTATTGTTCATTTGCTGGAATCGCTCAGTGGTCAGCCCTGCTATGCGCTTGCTCTTGAAAATCGGAGCGTGCACATCGTGACCCGCGGCACCTAAGAAGGACGCGGCTGAAAACACGACGGCGAGAATACGTAGGATGGTGACGAGGGCCTTGGCGACGTTGCAGTCGAAAGGCAAGTCGCCGTTCGCTGGAAACGCATCCGCCCACGATCGAGCGTTTGTCAATCTGAATCTCTGGCCGCCTGCCACCCTGTACGCGAGCCACAGCTCGTAGGCTTTCTTCGTCGAAACGACGGTCACGCCAATGACCAGTACCTCGAGCCAAAGGCTGATGAGAGCATACCCAACTTGTTCGTCGATCGGGGTCTGGAATGTTCTCATGGCAAGTCTGGCTCCGGGAGCAGCCGTTGAAGAGAGTGAGTCGTCCGGGTGCACGCGCGTTGATGTTATCAAGTTAGGATGACGGTTTGCCAGGTATCGGAAGATGGGACTTGGTCAATTCTCTGCGGCGAACGGGCATTACGGGAGGCGAGCGCATGTGATACCTCCCAGAAGGTGGGTAACGTGGCTGCGCATATGCCCCTCACAATAGTCATTACCCGTAAACAGCACACGAAACTCGCTGACTGGCGGCATGCGTCGCAGACGTGAGAGTCGTCGTGCATCAAAAGGTAGCTTCGGCCTCTGCGAGCCTCCTCGGCCCTTTGCTCTTCGCAAAACATGGCCGTGGGTGACAGGCTCACATCGCTATCAACGGAGGTACGCAACAGAGCTTTTGGGAGACGCGCCTTGGGCTACGGCAATGAGGGCCTCGTTGTCGGAAAGATACCGCATCATTGCGGATGTGGGCTGGCCCGCCACAACAAGACTTCTCGCCCTGACTGCTGTCCTCGGGATTGCGGTGAGGGTGAGGGGAGCCCCTGGCGTGGTGACATGAACGGCTGCAACGATGCAGCGATTCTCGAAATGACGGCCCTCTGAGGCAAGCTGAAATCCTCGAAATTGGGCCTGGAATGGGTTGAGACACGCACTGTATCAAGTGGGATGCTTCGGCGTACAGTACCCTTCGGTTACAGTATTGTTGCGGGCAGTCCAGGTCACAGACAGCACATGCACCTCACCGACCGAGACGGCAGCAACATCTGACGCTAGTGCTCAAAGTATACCTCCAAGTCGCCTCTTCTTTCCTCGATGCCTTCCATCCCTACGTGCCCGCCGCCCCTATCTTACCTTTTGATATGCGCGGTCCCCGGCCGCGATCCCCCTCCCTAACCACAGAGCAGGCGCCGGCCGCCACCGGCGCACAATGGCAATGGGGAAAACGGCGCCCTGGTCCCCTCCGACCGACCGTCATCCCCCTGCATGACGATCCGGTTGTGCCCGTTGCTCGCGCGGCGCGTCGATCGCCCGGCCGGATCCGCACCCCAACTCCCTTCCCTCCTCGCGCCCAGCGTCCTCCTCCTTACCGCAGCCCTCCCGCCCGCCACTGCTTGGCGGCGCCGCGCCTTGCGACCCAGGCTGTCGGCAACGGTCGGTCAAATGTGCCACGTGTTGCATAACTTCTGTTTCGTTGGGTAACAGTACCCAAGGGTACAGCAAGGTGATTACAGTGTGGATGCCTCCTCTGAAAGTAGAATAACTTTACACCGGTGCCGGTGCTCCGAACGATCGGGGCAGTGCGATGACGGCCGGAAGGGCAGGCCATTACAGTACATGCTCAGCGCGAAGGTAGATGTTTCTAAGAGCGCCTTCTGCCCTTTAGTAGTGCACGCATGAATGACAAACAAGAGGCGCTCTGGCTCATGTGGAGCCCAAATTCACATGCGTTCCCTTGCCCCTACCGCCAGACTATGTCCTGAGCAGGTGGGCCCTGAATGATGACCGGAGTCGGATACTGTACTCGCTTCGTGCTGCAGAAGCTTGTCGTCCGCAAGGCTTTCCGGAGACGCCGCAGAGTGGGAGCGGATACATCTCGGTCGGCAAAACCAAGAGAGCCTGCTATGCCGCGTATCGATGACGCACGACGTCATGCGGCAGCGCATCCCGCCTCCTTGCTGCTCTGTTGCTTATTCCAAGCTTGCTTATTCCAAGTCAACTCGCAATGCTTCAGGGGTACTGTAAACAACTGTAATCCATGACATCATCAGGCACGCGTCCTTGCGGCCGGGATCCAAACCCTCGGCTACAACCGCTCTTCCCTCACGTCATACCGGTCCCTGTTAACAGTTCACCCGATCGCAACGAGCCGACACCAGATGTGCTGCAATCAAACTCATTACGAACTGCCCGGACTGCCGCGCAAACCAACAAACTCCAACAAGCACCTTAGCAAGAATTTGCGCTGGCGCCGCTCTCCTGACATCGGCAGCGCTGCGCTCGTCTGGTCGCTCACCGGGTGCATGCAACAATGCCCGAAATATGACAGCAAACATCAGAAGGGAAAGGGGCAATCAACTCATCACTTTCTGCAACCAGAGTCCTGTCCGGCTTCTTCATTTCACCACTACGCACCACCAATGCCGACTCATTACAAATGCCCCCGAATGCCCACAGCGGCCTTGCATGTGAACGAGCGTCGCCAACTTGGATACGGCCGCACATCAGCGTTGTGAAGACATTTGCGGTATGGCTTGTCGTCTCATCAACACATCCACGGATTTCCATGTATCGCCAGGAAAACAAAGCCTCGAGAGAGACTCCATATGCGAAACCTCCACGTGCTTTCCTTCGCCAAATCGCTCACATCCCGCCCAACATTTGCCCGACATCGTACCATGGGCACCACAATCTGACCAAGCAGCATAGAATATCAGGGGTTACTACACCTGGGCGTGTCAGTCGCAAGGAACGCGTCGCAGAAATTCAATGAGACTCTTTCCTCAACATGTGGAACAGTACGATAGCGATGGGGAGAGCTCTTTCGTATTTTGCGTCGAGTATGCAACTAACCTGTGTCATGTCAAGCAACAGCAGTAATACAGTGAGTTTTTTAAATCTTCAATACTAGATCGAAGAATTGACCCAAGGAGCTTCTTTGCTCTGTTGTCAAGATCTTCATTGCTTGTGGCACACATCTTTCAGAAAGATTTTGCGCGTTGCACACGAACCTCAATTGATTCACGCTCTTCCCGCCGAGGCCATTCCATGTTGTTCGTTACCGAGCGTTCAAGCCGTTCTCCATCGGGAAAGGGTGAACACATTCTCCAAACAAAAGCCTGTAGCTACATTACAGCTCACAGGCCTCCAGAGCTGTGCGCAATATTGTGCCTCTCCAAAGAGGGGTTGGCCACCAATATGTTCAAAGTCATTGGAGAAGGGCCTTCAGAAGCATATCGATATTAGATATTTCACTCCGAGCATTTCAGCTGCAAACGGCGCAACCTCTCTCCGTGTTGAATATTCGCTGCCGTCTCGTCGGGACGAGGGAAGAGAGAAAGTTGTTTGCAGTCTACCCTTTGAACGATGCCAAGAGTAGAATCAACTTTTCCCGAGTTGTTTCCATGCCCGGCCACATCCCCCTGTGCGACAGACAACAACCCTCGGAAGCTCGTGAGGTCAGGCTTGATATCAACTTGCTGCCTTAACAACGTACAGATGATCGCCAACAGCACAGAGGTTGCCGAAATTCCCACTGAGGCCCACACATACCGAGCCTCTAGGGTAAGTCTCCGAGCAGTGGGGCTGTCGCTGTAGGCTTGGGAGACTTGCTCTCGCCACGCGTATAAGTGGTTGGTGAAGCTTATCGCAAGCGATATGTGGCGGGGCAGGTTGTTCGCAATATCTCCAACAACCTGATCTGGTCGACTAATCATATGGTCCTTGTATTCACTTATCGATATCTCAGCCCATTGCCCGCGGTCTTGTGTTCCAACGAGGAGGTCCGTGCCGTTGGAAGTTGTAAAGTATAGCTCTCTTCCATCGGCCAACGTCATATTTGAAATAGAAGTGACAGTACCGTTGCCAAGTAATACTGGGACTGAACTAGGTTTAACCGGATCCTGTTGAAAGTTCCATTCAACTACAAGCAAGAGGTTTCTTTCCCCACTGCGCGACGTCGTACAAGAAACTTGCGACCTATCGTCATTTTCTAGCGCCTCATACAATAGAAGCCTGCCCTTTTCGAAAACACGACACTTCCAAATCGCGACTACCAACGGGTCGTTCAGATCGCTAATGTTCATTTGCTGGAATCGCTCAGTGGTCAGCCCTGCTATGCGCTTGCTCTTGAAAATCGGAGCGTGCACATCGTGACCCGCGGCACCTAAGAAGGACGCGGCTGAAAACACGACGGCGAGAATACGTAGGATGGTGACGAGGGCCTTGGCGACGTTGCAGTCGAAAGGCAAGTCGCCGTTCGCTGGAAGCACATCCGCCCACGATCGAGTATTTGTCAATCTGAATCTCTGGCCGCCTGCCACCCTGTACGCGAGCCACAGCTCGTAGGCTTTCTTCGTCGAAACGACGGTCACGCCAATGACCAGTACCTCGAGCCAAAGGCTGATGAGAGCATACCCAACTTGTTCGTCGATCGGGGTCTGGAATGTTCTCATGGCAAGTCTGGCTCCGGGAGTAGCCGTTGAGAAGAAGAAGCCGTCCGGGTCCACGCACGCTGACGTATTCAAGTTAAAGATTACGGTTTTTCAGATACCAGAAGATGGGACTTGGTCAATTCTCTGCGGTGAACGGGCATTACGCGAGGCGAGTGCATGTAATATCTCTCAGAATGTGGGTAGGGTAATGTAGGTGCGCATGTGTCCCCTACAATGGTCATTACCCGTAAATAGCGGTCGAGCCTCACTGACTGGCGGCATGCGTCGCAGATCTGAGTAACTTCGGCCTCTGAGAGCCTCCTTGGCCCTTTCCTCTTCGCGAGGCATGGCCGTGGGTGGCAGGCTCACATCGCTATCAACGGAGGTACGCAACAGAGCTTTTGGAAGACGCGCCTTGGGCTACGACAATGAGGGCCTCGTTGTCGGAAAGATACCGCTGCATTGGCGATGTGGGCTGGCGCGCAACAAAAAGCCTTCTCGCGCTGACTGCCGTGCGCTGGAGTGCGGCGAGGGTGAGGGGAGCCCCTGGCGTCGTGCATTAACGGCTGCAACGATGCAGCGATGCTTAAGATGAGCTAAGCTGAAATGCTCAAAATCGGGCCTGGAGTGGGTTGGGACACGTACCAAGTGAGATGCTTCGGCGTACAGCACAGTCTTGTTGAGGCCAGTCCAAGCCATATACAGTACCCTTCGAAGGGTACATGGACCTCACCAACCGAGAGCGCAGCAAAATCTGACGGTAGTCCTCAACTTTACCTCCAATTCGCCTCTTGCTTCCTCGATGCCATCGCTACGCGCCCACCGCCCAACTGCCCTCCTTGCGCCCAACATCCTCCTCGCGCCCAACGTCCTCCTCGCCTGCCACTGTCTGACGGCGCTGCCGCAGTGGGTCACTCACTGTGAGTGAGGCCTACTAGGCTCTCGGTCGGTAAATGTGCCACGTGTTGTGTAGAACACAAAATCAATACAGTGGATCCTCGCTAACTGCATGCTCGGTTTCCGCATATTCTCGATTACTGCATGCGTTCGTCAGCCACCGGCTGCGGAGCAGCGATTCCAGCCTGTATATGATATTGAACTGCATACCGCATACAGTAACTGCATGAAGAAAGTGATCCTTAATCATATCGAACCCTCATACAAAGGCTTACTATGAAACAGGTAAAAACTTATGACAGTGTGGATGCCTCCTCTGAAGGGAGAATACTATTTACAGTGGCGGCCTTGCTCCGGTGCACCGAAAGCGTGTTCTACAGTACACTCTCAAGCGTAGACAGTGCGATCACTGCGGGTGATCACTGCCGAGAGGCCAGGCCAGTAACGTGGTAAGAGTACACGCTCAGCACGAAGGTAGATAGATATTAAAAGAGCAACTTCTGGCCCTTTAACAGTGTGCATGCATGAATGACAAACACGAAACGCTTTGACTCTTACTACACATGTTGAGCCCAAATTCGCATGCGTGCAATTGCCCAACCGCCGGACGTGTAAAGTACTGAGCAGGTGGGCACTGTATGATGACCGGTGTCGGATACTGTACTCGCTTCGTCCTGCAGAAGCTTGTCGTGCATAAGGCTTTCCGGAGACGCCGCAGTGTGGGAGCGGATAAACTTTACAGCTCTGTCGGCAAAAGCAAGAGAGCCTGCTATGCCGCCTATCATATGCACGACGTTATGCCGCAGCGCATCCCGCCTCCTTGCCCTGCTCTGTTGCTTATTTCGAGTCAACTCGCAATGCTTCAGTGGTGAAGGGGGGTTGCTGTTGTTGTCGGACAGTGACAAAAAAATCGGACATGCAAAATATTTTGAAAAACATCTCCGACACGGGCCAAGGTGCACCGCCGCGCGTAACGGCGCCAGACGGTGCGCCGTATCTCAGAACGACGTGGTTGAAATTAAAGAAATAATATCTCAATCGATTGCTCACAGCTTTCTACGTATTGTATAGGAGTGTAACAAGCCCCAGCATACAAAACAGACAGATTTTTTAATTTTTTTTAATTTGCTTGGATGTCCGATCTTAGTGCTTCGGTTGGGGTGAAAAAGTGTCCGCGCGCTTCAATCTCACTCCTCTTCTGTGTCCGTGCTTGTTTCCGCCAAGTCCCAGTGGACGGACACGCTGAGTGTCCCCGTCGCAAAACATAAAAATGGTGACTGCTTGACAATTGCAACTACTTTTTTCTTTTAATATTGAGGTTTTTGTCCGACGTCAGGAGTACCCCCCTTTACAGCATCCTACTGTACAGCACTGTAATCCATAATACGACATCATCAGCCACGCATCCTTGTGGCGGGATCCAATACCTTGGCTACAACCGCTTGTACCTCACGTCATACCGATCCCGTAGCGACACAACAGACGATAACAGTTCACCCGATCGCAACGCACCGCCACCCAATGTGAGATTATCAAACTCATTACTAACTGCGCGGACTGCCGGGCAAACCAACAACGCTCCAGCAAGCACTTTCCCATTAATTTGCCCCGGCGCCGCCCTCCTGAAATCGAGAGCGCTGCGCTCGTTTGGTCGCTCACCAGGTGCATGCAACAATGTCCGAAATATGGCAGAAAAACATCGGAAACGAGAGGGACAATCAACTAACCACTTTCTGAGACCAGAGTCCCATCCGGCTTCTTCATTTCACCACTACGCACCACCAATGCCGACTCATTCCAAATGCCACTGAATGTCCATAGCGGCCTTGGATATCAACGAGCGTCGCCAACTTTGATACGGCTGCACAGCAGCGTTGCGAGAACACTTGCGGTATGACTTGTCGTCTCATCAACACACCCACGGCTTTCCATGTATCGGCAGAAGAACACAGCCTCGAGAGAGACCCCCATCCGCGAAACCTCCACGTACTTTCCTTCGCCAAATCGCTCACATCCCGCCCAACATTTCCCCGGCATCGTGTACCATGGGCAACACAATCCGAGCAAGCAAAATAGAATATCAGGGGTTGCTGCAGCTGGGCGTGTCAGTCGCAAGGAACGCGTCGCAGAAATTCAAAACGCCTCTGCTTGACCCCCGACATCTGGTCACGCTTGATACTCTTCTTCAAAGGGCACCACCCATCCTCATATCCCTCTGCATAAGAACAATCACAAATCTACAATGCGGCCTAAATCCGCACGCCCATCAATCGCAACCTCCACCTCTCAATACCTTAACTTTTTGCGCAGCTGAGGCGGTGTTCCAGCATTCCACCGATGCGTTTTGACCACTAAATGCAAGTCCTTCAACGCTCCCTCAAAAGTGTATTTCGTGATCTTGCTCTGCATCTTGGGGTCAATGCGGGCATGTCCCTGTATCAGCATCGCGCGAATCTGAATGCACACCACGTCAATACTGTTGACCGGAGCCCATCCCGAGGCGGTCAAAAGCTCCATACAGAGCCCGCCGCGGTGGAGCACATGCCCTGCCGACACGTATGGGGCTGCGACGCGGACGACTGGCGGGGCGTGCGGGTAGTCCGCCGGGAAGGTGAACTCCAGCTTCACGGTATCTCTCTTTGCGATCTTTGCGAGATCAGAGGCGATTCTCGAGCCCTGCACGTCATCAAAGTAAAGATGGACATTCCATTTGTACAGGTCCTCCTCGACGGGTTCCGCTATGAAGCCGTCCTTCCGCGTGTCCATGTCCTTGAGCAGAGTGAGCTGCTTCATCAAAGTGGCGGTCGCTAGCCTGCTATGGCCGAAGCGTGGCGCCTCGTACTGCATGGACTCTGCCGGCCGCTTTCGGTGCCTCGGCAGCGGCGATTGCGGGTCCTTCTTGAGCTTTCCCTCTGCGGAGGAGAGGCTCCGCTTCGTCCCAAACAGTTGCTTCTCGTAGAGCTCGTTGGCGCGCTGCATGACCTTGTGAACGACTTGATGAGGGGTAAACTTGGCGTCCGCGTCGGTGAGGACAGTGAGCAAGTAGGTGTTAATTTCGAGGACGAAGCCGTCTGGAAGGCCGAGCTCATTTTCAACGAGCGGCATGACGGAGTTGTCCTCCTTGTTTCCGGACAGGAGTAGATTGAAGCGGCCGCCGTCGGGGAGTTGGTACGAGGCACGGGCGTCAAAGGAACCTGGGCCAGACTTGCCGTGCTCGAGCGTGGGCGAGTACTCGGGGCAGTGCGCAAGTTGCGAGGAGGAGGACTTGGAGGGCGCCCAGTCGCGGAGGGCGGTGAGGGACGCAGTGTTCATGGCTAGTGAAGGAGTTGATTTGAGGGGCAAGGGGGAGGGGGAGACGGGACGCGGAAGAGAGGAAGGGGAGGTGGCGGAGGGGGGAGGCGGGGAGGGAGAGAAAGAAGCGCTTGCGAATTTTAGTCGGTGAGTGTGCGTACACGTGTACCCAAGTATATTTCGGGAGTTTTAGAGGGGGGGAGGCAACAGCAATCTCTATGCAGCGAGATAGCTTTTTTCTATCGAGTTACAGGGGGGGGTCGCTCAATAGTGCCTACTTTAGTAGTGCTTCCCTCTATATAGTGCTATGGCTCACCCTCTGGCACAGGTTATCATAAGCTCACATGTGTATCATCCGGCATAGTTCAGTACTCAAAGGATGAAGTTATTTAGTTGTGTTATACAGGCTTTGTTGTGTTTGTGTTAGCAGTGTGCTTTGTCCCCAAATATGTGTATTTGAGCCTCCTTTATATAGTGCCATCCCCCCAATAGTGCCATAGCTAGAGGTACGGCACTCTATAGCACTATATTGTAGGAGGCACTGTACCGTACATTCTGTATGTTAATCTGTATGTTGCACGTGTCTGTGCCAATATTCAGTCTCCGCGCCCGCCGCCAACTTGATCAACATCATTCGTTAACTTCTTGTCCGTGGCACATCCTCGCTTCATCATACTTGCAATACACCCTCACACATGTATCGATACGGAATTCATGGTCAATTTGCATCCATGTACGCGCAAGCTCAAGTCCACACACGAAGAAACAACTCCTTTGTAGAACTCTACTTCTATCATCTTTGCATTCCCGGGCACTGCATCCGCTCCGCACTCCAATACCCACCGCCTTCCCAACTGCTTAGCCTTGAGGTCCCTACAATACCTTTCTCCTGTGCTCTAAAACGAACTACACTCTCCTTCGCTACACGGCCCTCTCAAACCGTGACTTTGAACCCTCTCTCCGCCCTGCAAGCACGCCACTGTACCTTCAATCTCCTCCCCACTCGGTGCCTCGCTTGATGCCATGCTGATACGCACTTGCGCTTCCGACCAGCTCACCCCTATAGCAAAATTCAATCCAATCTACAGCTTTCTGCACGCGCAACGATGCCACGCGCAACGATACCACAGTTTGGTCTGTGTCCAAAAAAGCCCCGCATCAATCTGGACGCAAAACGGATCCAATTGTCAACAACAGGAGGCGATTTAGCGCATCACTTAATGGGGAATTGCTGCTTATTTGATGCTACGCACTCACCACTTGCGATACCGGTCTACTGCCCATGTCGTATGTCGACTGCCCAACGCATGCCGGTAGTTCAAAAAAAAACACTACTACTTATTCGGAGGCCGTTTTCGAAACGATGTAAAGGTAGCGCCCTCCACGACCCTTATTCAAGTCTCCCGTCGTCCCTGTCCATCCATCAGGAACTCGAACAAGCTGGCCGCCGCACAGCATTGCATCCACGATCTTTTCATTCTCATCCTTACTGTGCGAAATATCCCGAAGGCGGTAAGCTCCACCTGCCCCCTTTGCCATATCTTCCTGGCCCCGATCCTTCGCCCAACCTGGAAACTCATCAGATAATTTGAACTCGATGTTAACAGCGGCCTGAGATATGTCCGCCGTCTGAACAAGTTGCAGAAACACATATTGGCCGCCGTAGCCGCGATAGATGTCACCCCAATTTTCTGTCTCCACGTTTTTCGATTCGCCGGACAAGCCGTCTTTATAAGAGATAAAATCCTTTGAATAGGTCATACCTCCATACGTACGCACCTTGATATCCTTGAGTTAGTTTTTCGGGGTCACGCGCACCGCGACTTTCAATGAGGCCTTCTCGTCGAGAGGAGGGGGATCCGCCGAGGGCCAGACCTTCAGGTCACCTGTCTCCCAGGAGACGGTAGGAAGATAACCTTCTTTGCAAATACGTAAACTGACTCACCGGGCTCAACGTCGATGGGCCCGATTGTCTTGGTAGTTGTCTTCGTCTTGGCATCCTCTTCAGAGTTCCCTTGGATGCTGGTGTTTACAACTGATGAAGTCCAGTCGACCGTAGTGTTTAGTGACTCATTGAAGATTCTAATCGGTGTATTCACATCCAACACGACTAAATAGGAGTTTGAGTTGGCAACATGAACAATGTTTTCGACTTCGGATCGAGACATGCTGATCGAGCTCTCAATCTCTTTAGTGTATTGAATAGCAGAATGGGATTGGGAAGGATTGGTGAAACTGTCTTTCAGTTCCCATTCCATTTTCCCTCGGTACTCAATTTCACTGCTGCCCATGTCGGATGAGTGAAATAGCGAGGGTGCGAAGGCGAGAAGATGGATGAAGAAGGTCAGAAAAACTAGCTGATTTCGTTGCGACACCCCCAAGTGACAAGCACCGATTATATAGTGAGTAGGGAAGGCAGCAAGTGTGTCAACGTTTCAAAAAATGCAATAGAAGCGTGTCGCCGAGACTATCTGTTCCTATGATCATCAAAGTGGACATTGTGAATGGGAATGGATGCACTTGCAGTGGCTCGTTTTATAGGTGAGTTCAAAACAGGGAAAGCCTGCTCTTTGGCAATACTGTGCTCGGTTGGACCAAACAGTCGTGTATAGACGGATTCCTAAGTCGAGGACATCGAGGACAAGCCCTGACGCGCTGAACATGTGCATCTTTCGATAGAAGAGCAGTGCTGCCTATAACATCGGGACATCCGAAATAATAATCAGACGTTCTCCTTGAATTTATATATTATTGTTGCAATTCTTCCTACAAGACATACAAGTTGGTACCCCCCGAAGTTGTACACTTTATGAAAATAAACGAAAAATCAGCTTCCAAACATCTGCCGAAGCCGATTTTCACATGGCTAAACAGAGCACGGGTCCCCGAATCTTGTGCTGTAAACGGCAAATCGCCTCATTTACGGCAAACGCGGTCGCCTCTCGTGAGAGCATCACCTCAAACAAGGCATTTCTGCAAAAACGGACACCAAACTTGAACACTACAGTAATTGGGCAATTCAAATTGGACATGCAAATTTTTATCGTCAGAAAAACATTTCAAGCGCAGGTGGATGCAGGCCACCTCCATTGCTATCGAAATGGGTTAACCTGACGTCATTTCTCATTTGCTATCAAAGACGTTGGCTCATAGACACTGGAAAGTTTCAAGACCAAGTTGCTCCTCTACCTTCCTTGCTCTAGCTTCGGCCTTCTTCTGACAGACGATGCGCTTCGCTACTTGACGACGAACTGCCATGGGACGTGGGGCTAAATCACGGACGCCATACGCATTGACACGCAGAGCCAGAGCCTGTTTCTCAGTTCTCAAACGTTCCTTCATTGTCTTTGCATATAACACGGTCTCACGTTCGACCTTCACCGCATCCTTTTTTCCTTTACTGCCCTTCGCGCACTGTCTAGAATATTTTTCTCCTTGGCTTTCTGCAGCGCCGCCCCAGATGTTAAACATAAACCAACTGCAGTGTCCAAGAAACCGCGACTTAATACAACCGGCTGCAATCCAATGCCTTCTCTTTGTAATTGTCGTTTGTTATCGATCATTTTCGATATATCCTCAACGCTGATTAGCTTAGTATGTTCCTCATAAGACATTGGGCGCGATACGTTCAATAAAGGTCGCCAGTCTAACGGATAGATACCCGATTTCCCAAATGCCTTCTCAATATTACTTCTTGTAAAGGCCATTGTCTAGGCTTTCGTTACCAGCTTCAAAAAATCAAATGCGTCATAGACGTTACTGTTATCGGCAGATGACAGTTTCTCAACCAGATTACGCAAGTGCATCTTGAAAGGTCCGAACACGGCGACATCTAAGGGCTGTGTCACTCCACTGGTGTGCGATGGCAATGCATAGGCAATAATACCAGCTCTGTCGAACATATCCAACACACGAAACGTCATATGACTGCGATATCCATCCATAAGTAGGAGCATTTTTTGACCATTCCTTGTGCGCTCAAAGTTGTCTTTCACGAAAAATGTTGCCCATTCCATGAAGCTGCTGGAGTCAACTCCGGCGATATGTTCACGTGTGGTAATTAAACTGCCATTAGGAAGGCAATCGGCAACAGTTTCAACGCACTCTCCATCTCCGTAATTTGATACTCTAAAATTTAGAGACTTGCCTTTCACAACGAAAAAGGGTCGCCCCAAACACCCACCGGCGAATATAGCAGGCATCATTGTAATACGCTCAATGTTTCGGAATTCTGGGGGCCTCTGAACCGCAAAAGATGACCTTGTGACGAAATGTTTGCGCTTGTCAGACTTTATGCAGTCTTTGTTTGGGGAAATGCCCGTTTCGTCCAAATTTGCGATGTGAATTGAGTCTATACTGTGGTCCTGGATGATTTTCTTGATGGATAAAAAATGAGTTGTCAAGGTTTCGGCGTTACAGGCTCTCTAACGAATCTCCTGTTCCTTAGTCGTACGGCGAAAGCTGATGTCGTCTTGATGGCGACTCAAAAAGTTTCGCAAAAACGCCTTGCCGGGGCGATTGTTTATGAAAGGAAGCGTGTTTTGGCGGTGCTGAGGAAAAGAGTTTACTACCATTTGAACAGCATCTTTGATGTCTTCGCGGTTTAGCGGGAAACCCCGGCCTGAATAACGCTGAATTTGATCAACAATGATCTTTTCTTCGGAGTTGGTGAGGTATGAACGGGATCGTGGTGGATCGTCTTTGTGTTGCAACTGATATTGGAAAGTGGAAAGAGGCAGACGAGCAATTTTTGCAGCACGACGGCGAGATACATAGTGCTTTTCAGTAGCTACGATGGCCTTTTGAAAGCATTT